TTTTATTATTTATTGTTGTTTTTTCAATTTTTAGTTAGTAACCTATAATATTGTGTCTAATTTTAAGTGTCATTAAAATCAAATGTTTTTAACTTAATAATTTTAACATTTCTTAATTTAAAACGAAACATCTTCTATTATATTAAGTTAACAAATTTCGAAAAACGACACCGACCCCGTGACCTCGACACCGTCTTTGAGAAATCTTTTTTCAATTATTTTCAAATAAATCAAAATACTTTGCATATATGCTGTTAGAAAATCTTACAAACTATTTTTATATAACATCTTTTTTCAATTTTAACCCAAAAAACGGTTATTTTGCAATTTTTTAAGAATTTTTTGATTTTTTCAATTTTTTATTATTATTTTTTATTATTTATTGTTGTTTTTTCAATTTTTAGTTAGTAACCTATAATATTGTGTCTAATTTTAAGTGTCATTAAAATGAAATGTTTTTAACTTAATAATTTTAACATTTCTTAATTTAAAACGAAACATCTTCTATTATATTAAGTTAACAAATTTCGAAAAACGACACCGACCCCGTGACCTCGACACCGTCCTTGAAAAATCTATTTTCAATTATTTTCAAATAAATCAAAATACTTTGCATATATGCTGTTAGAAAATCTTACAAACTATTTTTATGTAACATCTTTTTTCATTTATAACCCGAAAAAGGGTTATTTTTCAATTTTAACCCGAAAAAGGGTTATTTTGCAATTTTTTAAGAATTTTTTGATTTTTTCAATTTTTTATTATTATTTTTTATTATTTATTGTTGTTTTTTCAATTTTTAGTTAGTAACCTATAATATTGTGTCTAATTTTAAGTGTCATTAAAATCAAATGTTTTTAACTTAATAATTTTAACATTTCTTAATTTAAAACGAAACATCTTCTATTATATTAAGTTAACAAATTTCGAAAAACGACACCGACCCCGTGACCTCGACACCGTCCTTGAAAAATCTATTTTCAATTATTTTCAAATAAATCAAAATACTTTGCATATATGCTGTTAGAAAATCTTACAAACTATTTTTATGTAACATCTTTTTTCATTTTTAACCCGAAAAAGGGTTATTTTTCAATTTTAACCCGAAAAAGGGTTATTTTGCAATTTTAACCCGAAAAAGGATTATTTTGCAATTTTTTAAGAATTTTTTGATTTTGTCATTTTTTTATTATTATTTTTTATTATTTATTGTTGTTTTTTCAATTTTTAGTTAGTAACCTATAATATTGTGTCTAATTTTAAGTGTCATTAAAATCAAATGTTTTTAACTTAATAATTTTAACATTTCTTAATTTAAAACGAAACATCTTCTATTATATTAAGTTAACAAATTTCGAAAAACGACACCGACCCCGTGACCTCGACACCGTCCTTGAAAAATCTATTTTCAATTATTTTCAAATAAATCAAAATACTTTGCATATATGCTGTTAGAAAATCTTACAAACTTTTTTTATGTAACATCTTTTTTCAATTTTAACCCGAAAAAGGGTTATTTTGCAATTTTTTAAGAATTTTTTGATTTTTTCAATTTTTCATTATTATTTTTTATTATTTATTGTTGTTTTTTCAATTTTTAGTTAGTAACCTATAATATTGTGTCTAATTTTAAGTGTCATTAAAATGAAATGTTTTTAACTTAATAATTTTAACATTTCTTAATTTAAAACGAAACATCTTCTATTATATTAAGTTAACAAATTTCGAAAAACGACACCGACCCCGTGACCTCGACACCGTCCTTGAAAAATCTATTTTCAATTATTTTCAAATAAATCAAAATACTTTGCATATATGCTGTTAGAAAATCTTACAAACTATTTTTATGTAACATCTTTTTTCATTTTTAACCCGAAAAAGGGTTATTTTTCAATTTTAACCAGAAAAAGGGTTATTTTGCAATTTTAACCCGAAAAAGGATTATTTTGCAATTTTTTAAGAATTTTTTGATTTTGTCATTTTTTTATTATTATTTTTTATTATTTATTGTTGTTTTTTCAATTTTTAGTTAGTAACCTATAATATTGTGTCTAATTTTAAGTGTCATTAAAATCAAATGTTTTTAACTTAATAATTTTAACATTTCTTAATTTAAAACGAAACATCTTCTATTATATTAAGTTAACAAATTTCGAAAAACGACACCGACCCCGTGACTTCGACACCGTCTTTGAAAAATCTATTTTCAATTATTTTCAAATAAATCAAAATACTTTGCATATATGCTGTTAGAAAATCTTACAAACTTTTTTTATGTAACATCTTTTTTCAATTTTAACCCGAAAAAGGGTTATTTTGCAATTTTTTAAGATTTTTTTATTTTTTCAATTTTTCATTATTATTTTTTATTATTTATTGTTGTTTTTTCAATTTTTAGTTAGTAACCTATAATATTGTGTCTAATTTTAAGTGTCATTAAAATGAAATGTTTTTAACTTAATAATTTTAACATTTCTTAATTTAAAACGAAACATCTTCTATTATATTAAGTTAACAAATTTCGAAAAACGACACCGACCCCGTGACCTCGACACCGTCCTTGAAAAATCTATTTTCAATTATTTTCAAATAAATCAAAATACTTTGCATATATGCTGTTAGAAAATCTTACAAACTATTTTTATGTAACATCTTTCTTCATTTTTAACCCGAAAAAGGGTTATTTTTCAATTTTAAACAGAAAAAGGGTTATTTTGCAATTTTAACCCGAAAAAGGATTATTTTGCAATTTTTTAAGAATTTTTTGATTTTTTCAATTTTTCATTATTATTTTTTATTATTTATTGTTGTTTTTTCAATTTTTAGTTAGTAACCTATAATATTGTGTCTAATTTTAAGTGTCATTAAAATGAAATGTTTTTAACTTAATAATTTTAACATTTCTTAATTTAAAACGAAACATCTTCTATTATATTAAGTTAACAAATTTCGAAAAACGACACCGACCCCGTGACCTCGACACCGTCCTTGAAAAATCTATTTTCAATTATTTTCAAATAAATCAAAATACTTTGCATATATGCTGTTAGAAAATCTTACAAACTATTTTTATGTAACATCTTTCTTCATTTTTAACCCGAAAAAGGGTTATTTTTCAATTTTAAACAGAAAAAGGGTTATTTTGCAATTTTAACCCGAAAAAGGATTATTTTGCAATTTTTTAAGAATTTTTTGATTTTGTCATTTTTTTATTATTATTTTTTATTATTTATTGTTATTTTTTCAATTTTTAGTTAGTAACCTATAATATTGTGTCTAATTTTAAGTGTCATTAAAATCAAATGTTTTTAACTTAATAATTTTAACATTTCTTAATTTAAAACGAAACATCTTCTATTATATTAAGTTAACAAATTTCGAAAAACGACACCGACCCCGTGACCTCGACACCGTCCTTGAAAAATCTATTTTCAATTATTTTCAAATAAATCAAAATACTTTGCATATATGCTGTTAGAAAATCTTACAAACTTTTTTTATGTAACATCTTTTTTCAATTTTAACCCGAAAAAGGGTTATTTTGCAATTTTTTAAGAATTTTTTGATTTTTTCAATTTTTCATTATTATTTTTTATTATTTATTGTTGTTTTTTCAATTTTTAGTTAGTAACCTATAATATTGTGTCTAATTTTAAGTGTCATTAAAATCAAATGTTTTTAACTTAATAATTTTAACATTTCTTAATTTAAAACGAAACATCTTCTATTATATTAAGTTAACAAATTTCGAAAAACGACACCGACCCCGTGACCTCGACCCGTCCTTGAAAAATCTATTTTCAATTATTTTCAAATAAATCAAAATACTTTGCATATATGCTGTTAGAAAATCTTACAAACTATTTTTATGTAACATCTTTTTTCATTTTTAACCCGAAAAAGGGTTATTTTTCAATTTTAACCCGAAAAAGGGTTATTTTGCAATTTTAACCCGAAAAGGATTATTTTGCAATTTTTAGAATTTTTTGATTTTGTCAATTTTTTATTATTATTTTTTATTATTTATTGTTGTTTTTTCAATTTTTAGTTAGTAACCTATAATATTGTGTCTAATTTTAAGTGTCATTAAAATCAAATGTTTTTAACTTAATAATTTTAACATTTCTTATTTTAAAACGAAACATCTTCTATTATATTAAGTTAACAAATTTCGAAAAACGACACCGCCCCCTGACCTCGACACCGTCCTTGAAAAATCTATTTTCAATTATTTTCAAATAAATCAAAATACTTTGCATATATGCTGTTAGAAAATCTTACAAACTATTTTTATGTAACATCTTTTTTCAATTTTAACCCAAAAAGGGTTATTTTGCAATTTTTTAAGAATTTTTTGATTTTTTCAATTTTTTATTATTATTTTTTATTATTTATTGTTGTTTTTTCAATTTTTAGTTAGTAACCTATAATATTGTGTCTAATTTTAAGTGTCATTAAAATCAAATGTTTTTAACTTAATAATTTTAACATTTCTTAATTTAAAACGAAACATCTTCTATTATATTAAGTTAACAAATTTCGAAAAACGACACCGACCCCGTGACCTCGACACCGTCCTTGAAAAATCTATTTTCAATTATTTTCAAATAAATCAAAATACTTTGCATATATGCTGTTAGAAAATCTTACAAACTATTTTTATGTAACATCTTTTTTCATTTTTAACCCGAAAAAGGGTTATTTTTCAATTTTAACCCGAAAAAGGGTTATTTTGCAATTTTAACCCGAAAAAGGATTATTTTGCAATTTTTTAAGAATTTTTTGATTTTGTCATTTTTTTATTATTATTTTTTATTATTTATTGTTGTTTTTTCAATTTTTAGTTAGTAACCTATAATATTGTGTCTAATTTTAAGTGTCATTAAAATCAAATGTTTTTAACTTAATAATTTTAACATTTCTTAATTTAAAACGAAACATCTTCTATTATATTAAGTTAACAAATTTCGAAAAACGACACCGACCCCGTGACCTCGACACCGTCTTGAAAAATCTATTTTCAATTATTTTCAAATAAATCAAAATACTTTGCATATATGCTGTTAGAAAATCTTACAAACTTTTTTTATGTAACATCTTTTTTCAATTTTAACCCGAAAAAGGGTTATTTTGCAATTTTTTAAGAATTTTTTGATTTTTTCAATTTTTCATTATTATTTTTTATTATTTATTGTTGTTTTTTCAATTTTTAGTTAGTAACCTATAATATTGTGTCTAATTTTAAGTGTCATTAAAATCAAATGTTTTTAACTTAATAATTTTAACATTTCTTAATTTAAAACGAAACATCTTCTATTATATTAAGTTAACAAATTTCGAAAAACGACACCGACCCCGTGACCTCGACACCGTCCTTGAAAAATCTATTTTCAATTATTTTCAAATAAATCAAAATACTTTGCATATATGCTGTTAGAAAATCTTACAAACTATTTTTATGTAACATCTTTTTTCATTTTTAACCCGAAAAAGGGTTATTTTTCAATTTTAACCCGAAAAAGGGTTATTTTGCAATTTTAACCCGAAAAAGGATTATTTTGCAATTTTTTAAGAATTTTTTGATTTTGTCATTTTTTTATTATTATTTTTTATTATTTATTGTTGTTTTTTCAATTTTTAGTTAGTAACCTATAATATTGTGTCTAATTTTAAGTGTCATTAAAATCAAATGTTTTTAACTTAATAATTTTAACATTTCTTAATTTAAAACGAAACATCTTCTATTATATTAAGTTAACAAATTTCGAAAAACGACACCGACCCCGTGACCTCGACACCGTCGTTGAAAAATCTATTTTCAATTATTTTCAAATAAATCAAAATACTTTGCATATATGCTGTTAGAAAATCTTACAAACTTTTTTTATGTAACATCTTTTTTCAATTTTAACCCGAAAAAGGGTTATTTTGCAATTTTTTAAGAATTTTTTGATTTTTTCAATTTTTCATTATTATTTTTTATTATTTATTGTTGTTTTTTCAATTTTTAGTTAGTAACCTATAATATTGTGTCTAATTTTAAGTGTCATTAAAATGAAATGTTTTTAACTTAATAATTTTAACATTTCTTAATTTAAAACGAAACATCTTCTATTATATTAAGTTAACAAATTTCGAAAAACGACACCGACCCCGTGACCTCGACACCGTCCTTGAAAAATCTATTTTCAATTATTTTCAAATAAATCAAAATACTTTGCATATATGCTGTTAGAAAATCTTACAAACTATTTTTATGTAACATCTTTTTTCATTTTTAACCCGAAAAAGGGTTATTTTTCAATTTTAACCAGAAAAAGGGTTATTTTGCAATTTTAACCCGAAAAAGGATTATTTTGCAATTTTTTAAGAATTTTTTGATTTTGTCATTTTTTTATTATTATTTTTTATTATTTATTGTTGTTTTTTCAATTTTTAGTTAGTAACCTATAATATTGTGTCTAATTTTAAGTGTCATTAAAATCAAATGTTTTTAACTTAATAATTTTAACATTTCTTAATTTAAAACGAAACATCTTCTATTATATTAAGTTAACAAATTTCGAAAAACGACACCGACCCCGTGACCTCGACACCGTCTTTGAAAAATCTATTTTCAATTATTTTCAAATAAATCAAAATACTTTGCATATATGCTGTTAGAAAATCTTACAAACTTTTTTTATGTAACATCTTTTTTCAATTTTAACCCGAAAAAGGGTTATTTTGCAATTTTTTAAGATTTTTTTA